TCTCCAGTCTCCCCCATTTCTTCTCTCCCAGGCCCCGGAGCCAGGTGCTGCTTCCCAGTTACCCAAAGCTCCTTGCCTTGGGGCTCTTCTGTACCCTCCTTGAGCATAGAGGCCATGCTTGCTCATTTTCAGGTGCCCGGTGCCATGGCTGTGCTGGCATGGAGTTGGGCCCTCATACTGTTGGCTGCTGAATTCCTGTGCCTCACTCCACCTCCCTGTGCAACACCTTCTCCCAAAGTTGGCATCAACATCTCATAAAACAGACACTGTCAACTCTTCCAGGCCATGTGAAGTCACAAATTCACATGGCTTTAAATGACTGCTCTTAGAACAGAGACATTTTAATTCAGTCAATTCCACTCAAATATCTCTCTTATTAGAGACTGCACAGGGAAAATAGCCAAGGGGCATGTGGCTTTTTATGGTGTTACCTCATATTACCACTGTAAGACTGGCTGGGCAAGGGGAGAATCTTTAGGGCTCCCTTCTGGTTGACCACACCCCACTGTTCCTCTTCTAGATGACTAAGGGTATCATCTCCCTTTCCCTGCTCTGCTCACTTGCTTCAGGTTTCTGAATTCTTTAGACTTTTAGGTCTGTTTATTGCTTCTCCCAGAGACTGTGAGCACCATGAAGACTGTGCTTTCTCTCGGTCTTTGTAGACATTTTATAAACCTCATGGGAAGAATCAAAGAATGCCCCTTTGCTTTTCCTTCCTTCTTTCCTCTTATTTTTTTCATCATTTGCCAATCACTGACTCTTGATTGCGTCTCCTAAAGACTCTAGACTATAGTTCCTAGTCTTCCTCTGCAAAGGCTCTTAAGCAATGTATGTTCTGTTCTAATCTGAATTCTTTTTGACCCGACAAGGGCTGAGAGGCCAAACCCACAAAAGGAAGCCCCATCCTCCCTCCTTACATCATCAGCTTCGAGGCTGTGGGAAAAAAGTGTCCTTTTTTTCCTAGAAGAAACCAAAACAAACCAGACAAATTGTTTTCCCTCTGGGCTCTGCACCAGACTGGCTTGGATTTCCAGTGTGGAATACAGCTTTCTAAAAAGGGAAGTGCTATCGAGGTGTATAGCTTTGGGGGCAGAGATGAAAGAAAAGGATTTTTCTGCTCCTTTGGAGAACTGGGAACTCCACCCTCACTGGTGAGACTACACTTCTCCTTGAACAGACTCATAACTCTTCCTGGGGGCAGAGTACGGTGTGTTTGTTGTTGTGGGTAAGGAGATGTGGAGGAGCTTGGCAGGGGTAGTGGGGGTGGGAACTGTAATACTGAAAAGCCTTCAGTTGGTTCCAAGAAGGGTTCTAAAGACCTTGTTGGCTTTTTTGAACAGCCATAATCTCTAAGATATTAATCATGATAAAACCAATATGGCCAAACCTTTATGCTTTTAAATTTGTCTTTTTAGATTACATAATTAGAATACCTATTAGCCTTTAACTTTAATTGTTTTTTTTTCTAACAAGTTGTGTTCATTCATTTTGTGTTATATCAAAATATCCAAGACTGAGTACTGAGAAAAGAGGTTAATTTAGTTCACAGTTCTGGAGGTCCAAGTTCATGGTGCTGTTGTCCTTCCACAAGTCCCCCTGATGACATCACAGCATGGCAGAGAAACAGAAAGGGAATCAGCTGTATGCAAAAGGGGCTAAGAAAGTAGGGTGATCTTGCTTTATTACAATTTGGTTTCTCTAGAAGTAACCCAGTTACTTGTGACTCAACCCACCCTTGAAAGATAGCATTAATCCATTTCCACCCCACGATCCAATTACCTGCCACTAGGCTCTACCTCTTAAAGCTTCCACCATATCAACATCTCCATCTGAGAGATCCAGTTTCTGGCACAGAAACCTTTGGGATACACATTGAAACCACATATGAACCATACCACAAGTCAACTCTGCACTTTCTCCATACAGAGTAACCTGGATGAGCTCCTACAATGCGGAAGATCCTCACTCTGTACCGGGGATAACATGTTGACTAATCCACATCCTCGCCTTCAGGATACTGAAGAGCAGCCAGCTCTTAGAACCACAGCAAGGTTAAGAGCCTGGTCAGCCAGGCTGTGTATTCAGTGTTACAATAACAGAAGGCAACACTCTGCACTGTGTTTGGAGTGGATAGAGCTGATTGTAAATTCTGGCAGATGTAACTTCTCTTGGGGAGATTATTAACTCCTGTGAAATGTCTCCAGCAAAATGCAGTTAAGAATTCCATCTCGGTCTGGTGTTGTGGGGACCAATGGACAACACAATGAATCAAGCAAAGTACCTACTGCAAAATGGGAAAACAAGAAATGGCAGCTATAGTTGTTAGTGTCTTGGTTACTAATCTCTTGGTCACCTAAGCATTATAAATCAACGAAACCATTTATCCTCATCTTTCTTAGTGTGCTGCTCAAATAGCATGATTGCTTATATAATCAACAGCCCTCAGATTTCAAAAAATCAGATCTGCATTAATATCTTTGCAGCTAATTCTAAATTAGAGAACCAGATGTTAGAAAGTTAAAATACCTCCTTTCCTTTGTGAAAGACTCATAAGAATATTCTGAATACCACACATTTTTAATTTGTCACTATCATAGAAAGGTTAATTTTATTTTCTTTGCCTTTAATTCTATGACATTGTTCTTATGGTCCTCTCCCTAGTGTCATTTTATAACACATTATATTTCTGCCTAGTGGATTGCTATAATGATATTAGCACATTTTCCAAGAGAGAACTGTGGTATTGTGCATCAAATGGACTAGTCACTCACTTTTGTTCATTCAGCTCTGGAAGTTCCCCAAGTCGTTTATTCATTCATCCATTCATGCAACAAATATTTGTGGAATTCCTCCCATGAAAAGCTTTATGCAAAAATGTTATAGTCACTTCAAAAATCAGTAAATAATTTTTTTTGCCTGCCTGCTGAGGGTGATGTACATAAAGGTAAGTGTAGGTGAAGCCAAGTGCTTAGGGGCCAGAGAAGGTCCTGGTCAAATGTCAATTCTCTCACTTTAATTATGTGACTCTGGGAAGTAGCTTAAGATGTCTGAGCTCCATCACTCTTATCTTCAATCTGTGGATCCTCCATCATTCATTCAACAAACATGTCCACTTTGTATTAGGAACATCACCCTGTTATTTACTCAAGTGCTCCTGTTAAATTCTTACCAGGTATGGTGGATCTCACCTGTGATCCCAGCCCTCAAGAGGCTGAGCCAGGAGCATTGCTATGAGTTTGAGGCTAGCCTCGGCTACATAGTGAGTTCAAGGACAGCCTGAACTACACAGGAAGACCTTGCCTAAAAAAAAAAAAAATCTCATCCCAACACTATTAGGCTTCTAGACAGTAAGTAGTTCCTCTACAAGAGTTGTGTTATCTTCCCCCTCACTTCTAATTTATATATTCGTTCAACAAACTTAGACTGCCTGATAAGGGCCAATCATGCTAGGGGGCACTGGGCTTAAAGGGAAAAAAAGGAATAAAGACTGCCCGTCACGCTTTTCAATCCAGTTTGGGACTGGCTTAATCTGGTTTCTGTCTCTATAACAGAATACCTGAGACTAGGTAAAATATAAACAAAAGGTTTATTTTGAATTACAGTTGGACAGTCCAAGATTGGTTGGTTGGTCACATCTGATAAGGGTCACATGCTGATTTAATTCATGGTGGGAACTGAAGGGTAAATGGGTGTGTGTGGGAGAGGAAAAGCCCAAAGGATAACCTTGCTTTGTAACAACCTGCTCTTGAGGTAATTAATCCAGTTCCTTGAAGGTAAGAATGCACCTGCTCCTGAAAAATGGCATTAATCTAGTCTCAAAGGCTGTGCACGCAGGATCCAAACACCTCTCAGGGGGCCCCACCTCCCAATACTGTGGCACTGAGGGACCAAATTTCAACAAAACATATTCATACCACAGTAGGGACACAACCCACCAACAAATAATTATTGAACATGATCATTGTAATGACCACTGTGTGCATGGGGTATTATTAGAAACAGAAGCAGAAACCTAACCCAGCCTCACCCAAGGGCATGGGATGGGGGGATAAGGAAGGTCACACCTGAGCTAAGTATTGTGGAGGAAGGACAGTTCCCTTCTCTGCCAAAGTACCATGCCAAAGGGATGGACAATACCTATGGGGAAACAAGTTTCACGTTCCTGACATGCCCAAGTGATCATAAAGAATGATTAAAATTTTGTAAAAAAAAAGCACAACATAGAGTGACACATGGTAAAGATGTGTTTCCAGATTATCTCTGAGTACTGAAAGGTCAATAAGAGTCCCAAAGACCTTTGTTTTTTTTTCAATAGCAGTGGCTCCCCAGGAAATTAATGATGACAAAATATAACCAATATGGACAAAACTCTGTTTTTAAATATGTCCTTACATATTATATAATGAAAATGCCAACCAGCTTATAACTTTTGAAAGTAGTTAACTCTTCTTTATACAGAGTAATCTAGATGATCCCAATTCCCATGGTGAAGACTTTTAAAAACATGTGAGAGTCTGGGCTCGTTTTTGTGGATGGCTGGTGCAGTCTTCTAACAATACTGAGATGGTGTTCTCATGCCTGGACTGCTTCTGACGCAGGCCACTCACTGCATCACTGATAAACACTCAGTGGTCACTCCAAGTAAGACGAGGGATGAGATTTGATCAATTTGCTGCAAGCCCCCATCCACCATAAGTGAAAAAGCAGGTGGACCATATAAAAAGAAATTTCTGTCAAAGCATTTGTGAGCTGAGTGAACCCAATTTCATTTGCAACTAGAGAAATGGAAGAGTAAATAGATTGTAGTGCTTATGCAGACAGCAAGAATTCTAGAGATATAAATTTATTCTCTACCACCTAGGGGAGCCAGAGAATCAGGAAAATCTTATACAAAACTGCCAGAGTTAAAAGCCAGGCTAAGGAAAAGCAGTATTTTAATTTGAACTTTTACAGTGGTAGGTGACAAAAAACCAAGCAATCAATGAAACAAAACAAAATGATACCAAAAAAGGGAATTTATTGATTCATATAACTTGGAAGTTTCAGAGTCCATCTAGTTTTGGCCCTGTCATATCCAGGGGCTCAGGACTTGTCTTTTTCTGTTCACCTCTCAATCAAGCTATGCTCTGAGTTGGCTTCCTTCTCAGGGGGACAAAATGAACTTGGAACTTCAGGGTGACATTACTATAACAGCCTGGAAGAGAAGATTAAGTGGGACTGACACAGCGATACCCCCTGATCTTATTGTGTAAGATTACCTGCCCATGCTGGTGGTGAGGCTCCGAAGCCTCACCCCAGGACCCCTGGATTGCTGCAAAATGGGCAGGAGTGGTGCCACAGAGACATTCTGGGCAGACAGAATAAAGCCTACAGATCTGGGGAAAGGGGACTGCCGTTTGTACAGCACCTGGGCACACTGCTAGACATCCTGTGTGTTTTCTCGAATAACCTCCTAAGGGCCCTGTGAGCTAAGTCCCTTTCAATATCATCTCCATTCTACACACGAGAGTAAGACCCTGCTGGATTAACTAATTTCCCTGAAGATCACCAGGCAAGTGGTGGAGCAAGTTTAAATATAGAAGCCTTTGCTTGATCTGAAAGGGAAGGAAAGTGAAGAGGAGGGGCAGGCAGTGGGTGAGTACAAGGCAGAGAGAACAAAGTCCCCTTAAGTAATTGCTTCTCTTTCTTTAGGTAGAACTTAAACCACCAACTCTAAATCCTGGAGAATGCACCAACATTTTTTTCCATTTGAGGCAGAGATTAAAAACTGGTGCTGGGCACTTGATGGAAATGGGATCGGGTGAGGCTTGAGGAGTTTGGGTGGGACAGTTCTCATGCCCGATTTCACACACAGCAGACATTAACCCATCTCTTGGAAGGTCCCAGAGGGATCTAGAGGCTGCTGTCAGATGATGAGTGCAATCTCAAGAGGTCCTTCTATCCATGTGGCCTTCAGCCTTCACACTCACTCTCCCTGTTAATCAAGAGAAAGCTGCTAAAACTTGTCAGAGGGGCTGGCTGAGTCAGACGGGGGAAAGGTGGTGCCTGCAGAGATGAATCTGGAAGCTGGATGGGTCAAAGAAAGGGGACTGATTGGGCACAAAGGGGATTAACTGTACTTAAGAGTATTTGATCATAAACCATGAACAAAAGGTCTCTGGAAAGCAAGGGTTTGTAATATGAAAAGTTAGTTTCTCCTTGAACAGAGGTGAGTGTTCAAGAGTCCACAAGGGAGTAGGAAATGAGATAAATTCTGAGCCTACGTGACCTGGAGACAGATGAAAGCTAAAGGCAGAGGAACCCTGGCATTGCTCTTCAAAATGTAATCAGGCCGTGACTTGACTCTAGCTATTGTAGGATCATAGCCCAAGTGCTACAGTAATTGGTTTTATGCTATTTGTATTCCTCAGCTTTCTTGTGATTTTACCTAAAAGTTTTCAAAGACTATCTTCTGTTTTGGTTGTGCTAAAGAAAAAAACAGAGTGCAAAGAAGAAGAAAGGAAGATCTCTGTGACCTGCGCAGAGTTGATGGTATTTGGATGGTGCCACACATTCCTAGTTGTGTCCTGCCATAGCCACCTCATGGAGTTTCTACAGAAAACACAGCCAGGCAAAAGAACTCCACATCTCTTATGCTTTTCCTTCAAACTGCAACATGGAAATCTGGTGTTGTAGTGGACAGCACACTTCTGCCCAGGCTGGAAGAAAGGCCCGAGGGCAGTCTGGGCGCTCCCCTCCATCCACCCTCATTTACCACTCGATCCTTCATGCATTCAACAGTCACTGAGTATCCACTGACTGTCCACTAAGTGCCAGGCATTGTTCTAGGAACTCAGTGCTAGGATATCCAGCGCTGCCTGGACACAATCCTTGCCCTTATGAAGCTTTTGTTCTAATCAAGAGACAGAAAAAGAATGAAAAAAGGGACAGCATGTAGTAAGCACTATGAAGAACCTAAAGCGGAGTAAGAAGGGACAGGAGGGACAGGGGATTAGATGTGTGTATGTGTGTGTGTGTGAGTGTGTGTGTGTCCTACTTTAAATAGGAAGGTAACAAATGAATAGAGACCTGAAGTAGGGAAAGGAAGTCTGAGCAGAGGACTGGAAAAATATGCAAAGGCCCTGTGGTGGGAGCACAGTTGGCACATCCCCCCAACTATCAAACCTCAACCTCTTCTGAATGAAGAGGCAAGGGTGAGAGTGATAGGAGAGTAGCAGCAGCATCTGCACCCTGAAGGGCCACAGTACGATCTTTTATTTGTCTCTGATTGAAATACAAAACCATTAGAGAGTTTTGAGCAGATGAGTGACATAATTGTGATTCTTCAAGGGTCCCTTTAGGTATGGCATGAAGTCTACAGCAGTGCTGTCTAACAGAAATAAAATGTGAGCCACAGATGTGAGTCATATATATACCATTTAAAAAGCTCTCCTAGCTGAAAGTGTAAATAAGGATTAAAATGATTAAAAAACAAAAGAATAAAAACCTTTCCTGCAGTCACATTAAAAGGAAAAAAAAGGTGAAAATAATTTTAATGTATTTGGTTTAATCTAACATGTCTAAATTGTTCAATATATTATTGAGATAGTTTATATATCTTTTTAATGTATGAAAGGCTTGAAATATGGTATGCATTTTAGTCTTATGGCACATCTTAGTTTAGAATAGTCACATTTCAAGCATTGGCTTACCAGATGGCATTGCACAGGTCTATGCTCTAAGGGCGCATGTGGAAAGGGCCACCAGGAATATTCTTGCAGGAAGCACCTCGCATGGTCCAAATCAGAATGGTGAGGAAAGTCTAGGCTAAGGGCAGAAGCACTCCAAGAATGAGTCATCCAGAGAGGTAACAGCTGCTGCTGAAGTCTGGGGTAGAACTCATTGGCTCACTTAACCCTGCTTCCTAGAGGGTTACAGTAGGACTCTTGGAAACAACTCTAGGCTTGACATGTGACAGATACAATAGAAGAACAGCATCCAAGAGGACCTCCTGCTTCTGTCTGTAATCCTTTTCTCATCATACCCTACCATCCAGGGACTCGAGCACTTTATCCCCAGATCATTCTGTAGGACTTGACCATCCTTATCAGCAGCCTTCCACATGGTGCACCCTGGGTGGGAAGCAGGGGAAGCCCTAACTTACCCTAGAGGCAGTGTTTCCTCATTTCTGTTCTTGGCTTAACTGTAGTGCATTTGGTGACAGGGTACTATTATCTGTTACTCTCCAGAGGAAGGGTTAGAAGAGAATCCTGGGTGCCTCTTCTAGGGCTCCATTAGGACTCTCATGGGCTTTGCCTTTATGTATTCTTTCCTCTATTAAAAAAAAAATATATCTTTCTAATGGTTTAGTATAAAAGGAAAAATATTAATATATTTGAAAATTTTCCTCAATGTTTAAGTCCCCCCTCCGCCACTGCCAATTTCAAAGAATATAAAAGTGTCATGAGCTCCTAAAAGTATTCTGAGCCCCAGGCGCTATGCCTTTTGGGCCTGAGAGAATTTAATCCTGATCCCTTCACACAATAACCATCCTGATCCTTTCTGTGCTTCCCCCTCCTTTCTACCTGAATAATCAGTAAGGGTGGGGGGCATTTGAGCCTGCTCCAAAGCCTTTAAGAATGCCTCTTAGATGTGGCTCCCCAGGCCTCTAAGCTGGATCAAGACGAGCCTTAATTGTTATACTCAGAGTTACATTCTACAACAGGTTGAGAGATCATCAATAAAATAAATCTACTTCAGTGCCCAACTAAGTCTGCCTGCCTAAGTATGAACCTAGCCCAAATAATACAATGCTAGGATATAAAATAACCCCAACTTTGCATCAGGATATAAAATTCTAACAATATTGACCCTTTTGTGTTTTCCCATAAAGAAGTTGAGTTGAAGAGATACAGAGATAATGTAGTTTAAAAAAATTTTCCGCTATTCTATGCAATCTGTACATAGCAGTCTCAAGTGTCTGGCGGGGTCTAGATTCTTTATTGAATTGCCTGGCCTAAGCTACCTTTCCTTCAACTGATATAACTCTTTCAATACCTTTTGTGGTCATGGGGAGGTTCATCTGTCATTTCATTCACTTCTCAGGCACACGGAGAGGGTCCGGAGCACTTCCCTTTAAACTTGTGCATGGCCATGTGGCCTACTTTGGTCAGAAGAATATGAGTAGAAGCGTCATGTGTTATCTCTTGGTGAAAGTCTTCAAGAGTGCGATCTACCATATTTTCTTTCCTGTGTTGCACATGGTGGAGGCAGAAACCTGTGTCTCTGAGGACAGCAGAGCAGAGCTTCCTGCTGGCTTTAGATTAACAAGTATCACAGGCAAATTAAGTCTACTTGTCTTTCTTTTTTTCCCCTTCCTTTTCTCCTTCCTTTCTTCATCTCTCTTTTCTTTTTCCCTTCCCTTCTTTTTTCTTTCTCCCTCTTTCTCTCACTTTCTTTCTTTCTTTCTAGGGTAATTTGACAACAAAGCATAGTCTAGCCTAGACTGCTTCCATAATTGCATTTCTGTGTGTCCAAGTGTTTTCTCTTTTTGGCTATACTGGGGATTAAATCCAAGGCCTCCACACTGGCCTCTAGTCTTTTTAAATTTTCTCTATTGGGACAGAGTCTGGCTAAATTGCTAGAGGCAGAGCTTGAATTTGTGATCCTCTTGCTTTAGGCTCCCAGGGTGCTGGGATTACAGGTGGGTGCTACTTTGCTTAGCTCCAGGTCTTTTACATGTTTCACTTTTCTACAGTTCTTGCGGGGGGAGTCCAAAATAAAATAAAAATGTAATAGCATGAGTTGGGTTGTAATAGTGTTTACCTGTATTTAGTGCCCTGCTTGTTACAACCTATGAAAGGATGTAATCTCTGCTATGGTTTAAATGTATGTGCTACAAGTTCCTGTATTGGAAATTTAACTTGAAACTCATATTTCAATGGCATTTTGAGATTAGGACTAGATGAAGTCATGAGGGTGGAGGCAAAACCATTAACAGAGTTTAACAGTAGAAAACCCAAACACACTTTATTAATCTGCTATGTGCACAGGAGCCGTATAAAATATGAAAACTCAAAGAAGGGCCAAATGATTGAAGCTTTACTCTTTTGGGGCAATTTTAGAGGGGTGGCAAATGATTTCTAGGGGGAATGAGTAGTCCTGAAGAACACACAATTGCCTGGGGAAGGTTTTCTGGGCTCTGGGTTTGGTGTCTGATTTTCAGTCCCTTCCTCTGTGCTATGCGTTTAATCTTCTCTGGATAATGACATTTCAGTAAGAATATTTGAAGGCACTTGTGTTCTCTTTGGTCGATCTTGTCTCTAGGCAGGTAAGGAAAAGATTCTCTCAGTCTAAAGCAGCATATTTGGGGGTATCACTTTCTGAGCCCCAACATCCCTTTAACAGGATTCAATCTGTGCATCAATTTCCGTATCAATAGGTTCCCAAACCAAAGCAGCATTACATCCAGCCAATATTCTGTATTATTTTTCTGCAAACAGCCCTTAGTAGAATGTAATGTCTTTTTTAAAAAAGTTCATCCCAAAGTAACCTTGATTAACATGATTAAATTGATTATGGTTACTGTTTTGCTCTTTTTTTTTTTTTGTGGAACCATTTAGATGACAGATTAGATAATTCAGTGAAAAATCTAGATATCGAACCTGTTCCTTCTCAGATTATGGTCTTTCGGCCACCTGCAGCATTGGTGTTACCTGGTAACTTGCTAGAAAGGAAAATGTCAGCCCCAGCATGGGCCCACTGAGTCAGAATCTGCACTTTAGCACCCTCCTCAGAGGTTCTCCCACATTAAAGGTGAAGGGCATCTGGGTTTCTAAGCAGCTTCCCTCTGCAGGAACATGCACATCTCAACCTGCCTTGTGTGGGATTCTATGCTGTGCCTGTTGTTTCTCTCCATGTCAGGTTGGAAATCCCTGGAAGGCAGGGACTGGGCAGTATGTATGGCTCTGGCTCTCTCCCAGTGTTGTCAGGCACCATGACAAGAAGTAGAAGCCCTGGTTTTCAGTCCTGTTCAGATTTTAGGAGCTGCAGGTGAGAGACTCCCCAACCTTTCCACAGGGCCCTTCCACTTTACCTGCTCAACAGCTAAAGATGGTGGTGGCATCCATAGAGTCTTTTTATGGCTTCCTCTTCAGGAGGAGGTATGTGATGGAAGGGAGGAGATTTAACCAGGTCCAGAGGGGATGTTGTCACCCCAAGCGATCAGCCCCAAGAGTGAACCAAGGCAGATGGAAACACAGCAGCCTCTGCACAGTCACCCTAGGAAGTAGTGGTGGTTCTGCTCCCATTTTTACAGAGAAGGCAATGGCTCAGTGACTTGCCCAAGCTCCTAGGAATTCACAGGCTTCTTCATGTCAGCATTTTAGATAATACAGAGTCCAATATGCTTGGCCTCAGGCTGCTGGAAGGCAAGGGACAACCAGAGACTGAAACCATCAACAGCTCACTAAAGATGCTCCCAAGGCTTTTCCAGAAATGTCCAGCTTTGCCCAAAGTCCTTCTCAGCATAAAAAGCAAGCTGATATCATCAGAGACCAGCATGCTCTGCAGACCTCCTCTGAAGCTCCAGCCACAGATGGAGCTGGAAGCGGGGACAGGCTGCTGGAGCCTGGGCAGCTTCCAGGGCTCAGGATCATCCAAGAGGCCATGGAAATCAGGGCACTGCTGTAACCCTCACTGAAAGGGCCCATGCTCCAGAGGGCTGCCTTCCCCGAGGGCCCCACTCTCGAAGGGCTCCTGCAGACAGCTATGAACAGGGAGTGGTATAGAGTTTGCAAAGAGATAAGGAAGGAGTAAGGGAGAGCTCTACCTAGTGTGGAAGTCATATCTGGCTAAGACAAACAGTATGTCTGTTCTGCATGTGTGGCTCAGGGGTAGGAGGAGAGTTGTATTTATCTGTTTTTCTTTCTCTTCTTTAAAAGACACAGTCTTGCAATATGACCAGGTTGTCTCAAATTCGTGGGCTCAGGTGATCCTCCTGTTAGCAGTTGGTGGGGTGCCCAGTGGTCCTTTCCAGTCTCTTGTCCTGGTCAAAGAATTGGATGGACAACTGAAGAATGCAAAAGTTTAACATTTATTAAAGGTAAAAGAAGAAAAATAAGTGAAAAAAAAGTGCTCCAAAAAGAAAAAAGTACTCTAAAGAGTGAAAACATGCCCTGCATGCAGAGGAGGCCACTGCAAAAACAAGACAGTGGCCATGAGGTCAATGGTCAATGTTTTTTATATCCTTCTTCTGACATCAGATCCAAGGTGTCCCACACAGGACTGCAAAGCTGCTCTGCACATGCATCCTGGCTGTGACTGACAGGTTTCCATGACTGATAGGTCATACCCAATTTTCCAGCCACTCTGTCGTGCTCTAATCTCCCCCTCATTCCAGCTTCAGTCCCACAAGCTGCTGGAACCATATTCATATGTGAGCCACTGTACCTGCTTGGTGTTTTACCTTTTTTTTTTTTTTTAGTGCTACTGTGGATTGAACCCAGGGTCTTCACATTGAAGTATATCCTCTTTTCTTTTTTTTAAAAATTTTGATACAAGGCCTCATTAAGTCACTAAATTGTCTATTTGAACTTGCAATTGTCCTGCCTCAGGCTCCCAGAGTACTGGGATCACAGAGGCATGCACCACCATGCCCAGTGGTATTTTTATTTTCTTTCTTTCTTTTTCTTTTTTTGGTGGTAGGAATTGAACTAGGGCCTCAAGTATACTAAGCATGTACTCTACTACTGAGTTATACCCCAACTCTGATCTTTCTTTCTTCCTTTCTTTCTTACAGTGCTGGGAATTGAACCTGGGGGTTCACACATGGTAGGCAAGCATTCAACTCCTGAATTAAACCCCCAGCTCTCTGGTAATTTTCAATACAGAAAAGGCTGAGAGACTTGGATTAGAGGGAAGGGCCTCAAAGCAAAGGCCAGGCAGCTCACTATCAAAGATGTGACTCTGCAGCAATAATGCTCTGACTTTCTACAAGAAGTCTGTCAACATGGATTCTTAGCCTGGTGCTGCAGTTATGCTCTTCTATTAGCCGATCATTGTGAATGACTGATTATTAATTGGCAAAAGAATTCTCCCTCTGATCGCTACTGCCTCTTTCAGAGATCAGTATTTTTTTTCATTTTCATTTTTTGTCTTTAGTTCAGCTGGTTCAGCGCTTCCTTCTTGTTCTTCTTCATCTCCTTCACTGCTTCTTGGTGGGTGCTGCTGTCAGTAGAACTTCCAGCGATGCCCACATTCATTGCATAGGACAAAGGTAGTCATGGGCTCATCAGCACTGAGTGTTTGTACCTGGTTGTAGGTACAGTTCTTCTTCTTGCACTTGCCACACTGGAGGAGGTCGGTGTTGGTGCCACTGGTCTTGGCCATCTGGTGCTCACGGATGGCCTCCTGGGTCATGGCATTCCTCAACTCCCTCAGCTCGTCACTGGCCATTTCCTCTGCCATCATCTTGGCGATGAGCTCTGTGGAAATGGCCCCACTGAGAACATTCCGCCTAAGGCCAGGGTTCTTGGAGTCCTTGAGGTTGCTGATACGGCTGCGCACCCGGTTCCGGTACTTCATGTCTGTGCTCTTGAGCTCCTGGTAGATATGATCTTCAATTTCTGATGCCATCTTGTCACAGTTGACTCCATAGTTCTTGTAATCATCTTCTGCCTTCAGGGCCACTGACAGCATTTCCACACACTTGTCCCGGACAGAGTCCCCTGTGAGATAGCAGGGAGACAGGAGGCAGATGGAGGGGGCAAATATCAAGGGACTTCTGGGTGTTCTGGGGGTCTTCACTTTGTTTGATCTTTTCATCAATGGCCTTTTTAGAGAGGAGGTGATGGAAGACTTGGAGTTCACAGAGTCTCTCTTGTTCTTGGGTTCTTCCTTTCCTTTCCTCCTGGGTGAAGAAAGGCCTGCTTCTGGCTTCCAATCTGAACAATCAAGCACTTTCTCCTTCTTCTTTCCTTTTTCTCTTTTTTCTCCTTTTTTTCCTTTGGGAGATCCCGGGGAATCTAACAGCTGCTTCCAGTTTTTGATGAGAATTTTGGCCAAGGCCACCACTTCCTTATCTGAGCAGTGCTTGCGAATGCCATTAACAGCAACCCCAATCCTGGTTGTCTGTAGCAGCTGAATGGACATCTGATAGCTGTCCAGCTTCTTCAGAAGGTCCAGGGCCCCTTCCATGTTCCTCTTGGCCACCATCTTCTCCAGCTTTTTGGTGATTTTTAGCAGCTCCTCTTCCTGATCCATGTTGGCCTGTGATACCCAACAGAGCAAGTGATGCAGGGGAGCAGCCAGGCTTCAGTGCAGCAAATGCCAATGTGGAGGGTGTGCCAACTCAATGCTGTCTTAAGAGAGAAGCAAACAAAGAACAGCATAAGGAGTTAAGTGCGCAGCCAAGACCTTTTATAGAACTAGTTCAAATTATTCAGTTTTTTCCAAATTAGTAAGGTTATATTTTGGGGATTTATTGGAGAGATGCTGGACAATAAAGCTACAGAGCACAACACAGAGTCAACACATACTCTCCCCTAGTCATAGGGTGGGCAAGGACAGAGCCACCTTCACAGAACTCACCTAATTCTTAACACATTAATGTCTCGCTACCTGTGTAGTGCTGTCATCAGCAGTATAACCTAAACAACTACAGGGAAAATTGTGGAGGGCCACAGTACAAAGGCAGTTTTTAAAGATTTTTTTTTTTGGTACCAAGGATTGAACTCAGGACCTTGCACTTGTGAGGCAGGTGGCGGAACCACTGAGCTAAATCCCCAGCCCCAAAGATCTTATTTTCTATGAGTATTTCATAGTCAGATAATTTTCATAAGACAAAGCACTGAGCTTTGAATGCCCCAACTGAATAAAATTTTCAGAAATGGGAACTGAGTACATTTAAAGTGTATTTCTATTGTTTTTTTCCCCCTTCTGATTCAAGACCTACAATAATAACTGAGCTTTTGACTTGTTCAGGGCTTTTGAACTTACAAATTAATGATCCAGTCCTAGCTGAAATGGTAATGTCCAGGTACTTCATTTAAATAAAAGTACAAATCTAGTTAAAAAAAGAATCTTAGATTGTGGATGTGATTGACATTCATTTGTGCCCTAAGGCATAAATCTGAGAGTGACAGAAGGGAGAACCTAAAGAGGCACAGTGTGGGACAGCTTAAATGGAGCAGGTCACGCATTTGACTTCCAAACTGCACGTACCTGTCATCACCGAGAAAATTATAAGAACTTGAAACTATCTATTAGAAAAACTATTTCTGATGTTATATAAACAAATTCAACAGGTATTTAAAAGCATCTGCTGAGTGTTAGGCACTGTGCAGGTATAGTGGCAAATTAGAGTACTGAAACAGAATTATTATAGTGTGTGACAGATGCTATGAGTATGCCAGATATATGTACAAGGTATGTGTACCCTGGGCTGGGGAGAGGACAAGGCAATCTGTTAAGATACGGGGAGAGAACTCTTTGTGCTTATTTTTATTTTATGTTTTTTCTATCTTTGTGTGGTTTTTAGATAGACATAATTCACATAGCCACACACATGTGACATATAGCTAGATACAGGGACATCTAACTGTTCAGAGAGCCCTACTGAAGGAGAACAGAAACAGGAATTCAGCAGTCCTCCCTTATTGTTGGTTTTCTTTCTGCAGTTTCAGTCACCTTGGTCAACAGTGGTCCCAAAATATTAAATGGAAAATTTGAGAAATAATTTACAAGTTTTAAATTGCATGCCATTTTGAATAGCGTGATAAAATCTTCATTGTCCTCCTCTGTCTTGCCTGGGACAGGAATTACCCTTTGTCCAGTGTATCAACATTGTATAAGCTACCCTCATACCCCTTACGTCATTTAGTGGCTGTCTCAGATATCACATCAACTGTAGCAGTGCTGCAGTGCTTGTGTTCAAGTAACCCTTATTTTACTTAACAATGGCCCCAAAGCATTCGAGTAGTGATACTGACAATTTTCCTACAGTATATCACTATAATTGGTACATTTTACTATTATTGTTCTTAATCTCTTATTGTCTAATTTATAAACTAATTTATAAACTTTTTCATAGATATGTATGTATAAAGAAAAAGCATAGTTTATATAGGGTTTTAAACTATCCATGGTTTCAGGTATCTCCTGAGGGTTTTGACTGTATCCCCCGTGGTCTGGGGGTGTGATATGTAACTTGACTTGAGGTGTGGAGGACTTGGATGTCTTCCTGAATGAGCAATATTGAATTTGAATCTCACAGGAAGGCTAGGATTTTGCCAGGAAGAAAAATGGGGGGGGGCTCAAATTAAAAGTGAAACATTTCACTATTTTCTTACATAGGTTAATGAATATCACACTTATAAAATGTGGGTGACCCAACAGAGTTCTATATCCACTGGGAAACATGTGAGGGAAGAGAGGCAGGGAGGATGGTGGAAAGCTGAAGAGCTTAGGATGTCAAGCGTAAGAATACATTTTACCTTACAAGGTGAAGGAAAGGTGGGAGGAAAAAGAACATGGTGGTTTTATGGCTACACCGGACAAATCTGTGGGGTTTCTACTGGTTGTGATGCTAAAAGTGGGTCTCTCTCTGTTAGAGGAACAGAGAAGAATTAACACCCTCTTCACTTAGCAAACGTTATGGTTTATAGCTAAAATGACGCCCAAAGCCTCCTGTGCTCATAGGTGATGCTTTGGGGAGGTGACTGGATCATGGGGGTATGATACTCACCAGTGGATTAATCTGCTGATGAGTTCATAGCTAAAGGTGATACTGGGAGGTGGGAGGTGGAACCTGGTCAGCGGATGTGGGTCACTGAGGGATGTGGCCTGGAAGGGTACATCTCCCTCCCTCCTCCCTTGATCCCTCTCTCTGCTTCCCACTACCATGCCATGAACTCTTTCTCCTCTGCCAGGCCCCTTTGCCATGTCACCCTGCCTTGGAGCCAGCCGACTATAGACTGAAACCTCTATAAACTGCGAGCCAAAATAAACTTCTCCTTTAATTTGTGGGTATCTGGTATCCTGTCCCAGTGATGAGACAGTAGGACAGGAAGAATAGCCTTCATATTTGTAACAACTGGGACATAATGAATCCTCCTGAAGTTTCTAACCAAATCCATACTATTGGTTAGCACGATATTGATTTCTGACACATGGTTAGTGAAGTGTTATCTTTGAATTTGCTCTCTTTTCTATTCTAAGTAAGATTTTATCCTATTTCTAGATACCTGTCTATACTTACAAATGACCCAATCAACAAATTAAATGCTCTCTTGAACAATCTGTTGTCTTTGACATGGTTGACATTTTTGGACTAGTCATGGGCCTCAGTTGCAAGGAACAGAAACAACTTTGTCTGATTTAAGGAGAAAAGGAAGAGAAAGATTAGATGGCTCAAATAATCTAGGGATGGTGTGGTAGACATGAGAGATGGTTTACAAAACCAGGATTGGAGGCCACAAACCCAAGGATAAGTCTTCAAATGATGCTGGAGTTGTATCTAGGGAATCTGTTGTCACCCTGGGTGTTGCTGCTTACACTGCTGATGGCATCTGTGAATGCTGCCACTATTCATTAAAGAATGTATCCTGCAGCATCCCTGACTCGTTATGCAGAGCTCGGGGTACTTTGCTAATTGGCAAAGGCTAGATTATGTCTCCCATTTCCTAGGGGCAAGAGAGGCTGGGAAAGTAAACAGGATCTGCCTAATAAGATGAGGAATTCCCCAGTGCAGCAAAGGGCCTCAGATGGTAGACATCTAGAGTGTCACAAAAGAAAACTAAATGTGTCCTTTTCTGTCTATTTTTGACACATTTCCCTACTACTTCCTTGACACTGCCTGGTCTGGCTCTCCTCCTGTCTCTGATTTCTTCGCTAGTAGCATCTCTCCCTCATGAATCTAGCCCTTGTGATATCACAGAACAACGTTTGGTTTTTATCCTTGATTCCTGGCACTGAGCTTTAAAACCCTTGGAATTTCCTGATAAGAGACTTTTCTGTTCTAAGAGGCGACTGTTGGGGGGCCCCAGATAATTTCAGGATGAGGGATGGTCATCAGTTGTTGAGGTGGTGTCAGGAAAAATACCAAGTATTTGGTGTCAAGAAGAAAAAACCTAACAGTCCCCAAAATGTTGCCAAGTTGGCCTTCTGCCATCTGCCACTCTCTCTCTTTTCCTGACTCCCATGATTTCCTTCCCCACCATTCTGTGGATCATTTCAAATCTGTATTTCAGTGGCCGACTCTTCTCTGAGCTTGTCCTTCTATCCACTTGCTTACTGAAAATTTCTACTCAGATGGCCCACCCTCATTTAAAATGCATTTGTCTAACACAGTAAACCAGAATCTTTTAAATTAGCGAGTTCTTCTCCTTCACTTTTTAACCATAGTGATTACCCACTCAGATTCCAAACTTTAGAATTATTTTTAATTTCTTCTGGTTAATCTTAAATCTCTTTGGATTTGTATCTACCTTTGTTTCTAATTCCATAGCCACTACTTTAGTTCAGCTCCTTATTGACTTATGCCTGGACTACTGCAATATTTTTCAGACTATTCTGTTTAGACTCCCTCTTGTGTACTCTAGATTCTTCCTTAAACTCTTCTTAATGGGTTACTTAGATGAGTGTCATTCTCTCAACACCAATGGTTCCCTACTCCCCATATGCATTAGTTGGCTTTCCATTACTGTTACATATATCTGAGATAACTACCTTATAAAGGTAGTTGACTCAGTTTGGTAGCTTCCAGTGCATGATCAATTTTTTCCACCGCTTTTGTGCCTCTGTTGAGAAAGCATATTATGGCAGCACATAGTAGAATAAGACTGCTTACTTTACGGCAGGAAGTAAAAAGAGAAAAGATTGGGGTCCCACAGTTCCCTTCAAGGGTAACACCCCCAATGATCTAAAGACATCTCACTAGGCCCAGCCTCTTAAAGGTCCCACTACATTTCAATAGACCCATGGTCGGTGGGCCAAGCTTTTCACATATGGGCTTTTGGAGAACATTCTAGATCCAAACCACGGCACTAGAGGAGAAAGTAAACTTTGTAAGCCTGCCACTCAAGGCCTCAAAAGTCTTGCCTCAGCTTCCTTACTTGTTCTAACATCACACAGTCTAAGGCAATGTGGCAAACCTTTTAGAGCTTTAAATGACAACAAACAACTGGTGAGGCATACATGCCATAGGTTCGCCACCACTGGTCTAAGGTTTACTTCAGACATTTAAACAAAAAGTTGTTATTCTGTGGGGACAGATGAAAGAATAGGTTGATTCCAATCATTCAAAGGCCCTTTAAATTCTACACCTGCAGTGTTTCTCCTTGCAATCTCTTCTCTTCTATCA